AGTGTTTTGTGTGTAGATATTTAAAACTGTGAATATGCCATGCTTCATTCTATTTTTGTCCAAAACTTTAAGCATCCATTGTTTCTTCCTAAATTAACTAGTAATAACGATGGTTTTCAAGGAATGGTCTTCTTACTATATTGTTTTGTTTTTAAATTTATTATCTTGGCATTCTGGTATATAGAAGAGCTATCCCCGCCCCTTTATCCTTAAAAAAGGGAAAAAAAACCAAAACAAAACCCACTCTGTTTATATCAATGATATAAATGGGTTGTAAGCCATTGTTATTATTTTGATGCCCAAATTTGGCGAGTGAGTTTCATTTCAACTTCTATATTATTTTGATCCACACCATTCTTTGATAATTTTGTTGCTTTCTGGTACAGCATGTTGAAGGTGTGTCTTATACTTTTCCTTAATACTTTATTATTGCCAGCCCTAACTAAAGTCAGCCTTTTTCTCAAGGTACACAGGTTCTCATTATTGGAGAGTGTTTTTTCTTCAAGCCAAGATCTGGACACTAAGTATATGCATGCCTTCCTGTATACATATACATAGACTTTCTGTTTCTATTTGTGTTCATATAGTACTGTATACACTGAACAGCTTGCACATTATGATTATGCTAGACAAGCCTAAGCAGAACTTGCAGACTAAGATGGATTAGGAAGAAAAGATTGGCAATCTACCTCCAAAAATTAGCCAATGAACATCCAATGAATCACCAGCTTGCAACTGACCATGGAGATGGTGCAGACTTGGGCAGCATTTTATTTTTTCAAGTATTTTCATTGCCATATCTTACTCCTTCCAGTATATCCCTTTCCATACAGTTCTGTTTATGAGTCCCATCAGGTGGGCCTTTCCAATCATCCATGCCATCAACCCCCCTCTCCCCTGACTTCCCATACCCTCAGGGAACCCTTACTCCTGTCACTTGTCTCTGAGGGGTGCTCAACCTTCACTACCTTGTACCGAGCAATCTTAAATATACAAATGAATATATGCAAATCCAGCATGACCATAGAAGTGCATCACGTTAAGGACTGTAATAGTAAGGGGAGGAACTCTTAAAGAACCAGGGGATATGAGTGGTTCATCAGTGCCATACCGCACCCTGAATTTATCCTCTGTTTTGTGAGGCCTTCTTAGAGGGACTGTCCAATTGTCTTGTTGGTGGGCTTTGGGTCTCCACTCTGCACTCCCCCCCTCACTCACTATGGTAAGATTTTTTGTTCTGATGATGCCTGATACCTGATCCCTTCGACACCCTCATGATCGCATAGGCTGGTGTGCTTTTGATAGCAGGGCACCATCAGCTTTCTTTGCCACATTTGCTTATGCACCCATTTGTCTTCAGCGATCGCATCATGGAGGTGTGCACACAATGATATGATTTTTTGTTCTTTGGTGCCTGATAACTGATCCTTTCGGCACCTCGTGAGAACACAGGCTGGTGTGTTCTTCCATGTGGGCTTTGTTGCTTCTGAGCTAGATGGCCACTTGTTTACCTTCAAGCTTTTAAGACCCCAAACGCTATATCTTTCGATAGCTGGCCACCATCAGCCATCTTTCACATTTGCTTATGCACCACTTGCTTCTTTCTTTTCTATGCCAGTCTAGGTTAAAAAAATTCTCTATCTTACGGATCTTTTCTGCAGGTTGATGGTTCAAAACCACCAGCCACTCTTTCTGCCCCTCAAAATATTTGTAGCCTCAGAAACCCAAAGAGGCAGTTCTACCCTGCCTGTAGGGTCACTCTGTGCCAGGATTGACAGGATGACAGTGACTTTGATTAGTTTGGGTTGAACTTTCCAGAAAGCCATTTTCTGGTTTTGATTACACCCGTCCCTACCCCCCTTGTTTTTCTATTTCATATAATTCTACTCTGATCTTTAGTTCTATTTTTCTGGTATCCTTGGGCTAATTTGCTTTTCCTTAATTGTTTCTCAGGTTGAAGAGTTAGCCTGTTGATCTAGAATCATTTTCATTGTAGACATTTATTGGTATAAATTTCCATCTGAACATGGCCTTCATGGTATCCCATAGGTTTTGGTATGTTGTGTTTTCATCCCTGTTCTACTTTTAAATGTTTTTCAAAAGTTGTTATTTTTTTCTCGATTTCTTCTTTGACTCATTGATTGCTTATTACTTGTTAATTTCCACATTTTCTTTGTGTGCTCTAGTTTTCTTTCTGATATTAATTTCTAGTGTCATTCCATTGTGATCAGACAAGATGCTTTGTATGATTTCAGTTTTTAAAAAATTAATGATACTTGCTGTGTGTCCTAGTACATGGTCCTTCCAATAGAAGGATCCCACGTGTACTGGTAAAAATATGTGTCATGGTGGGTGGCGTATTCTATCAATGTCTATTAGGTCTAGGTAGTTAATAGTGTTCAAATCTTCTATTTCTTTATTGACTTTTGTAGTTATCTCCATGATCAAAAGTGGTATACTAAACACTGGTTGTTATTGTATACCTGTCTGTTTCTCCTGTTAGTGTTAATGTTATAAATTTTAGGGTTCTGAGATGAGGTGCATAAATATTTATAAATTGTTAAATCTTCTTGTTGAATTGATTCTTGTATCATTATATAATGCCCTTTTTTGCCTCAATAAAGATTTTGCTATAAAGTTTATTAATCTGATATTAAATTTAGCATACCCACCTTCTGATTGCTGTTAGCTTAGGGCTCCCCTCCTCGATTCCGCTTGTATTCAGTGTATAAGGTATGCCCCTTGTAGATAGTATTCGGTGAATAATTCTAAAAAATTGGGTGTGGGTTCTTTACTCTTTCCCCTTTTTTCTATGAACTTTTTTGAAGTCCCTTCATATGTATATCTGCAAATATGTTTGCCTTACAGGACAAAATATGTTTTCTTTGATTAATTTTAAACTTAAAAACAGTATCTTCTAATATAGCTTATCAATAAGCTATTATTTCTTTTAGTATACTTTTGAATTTAGTTTGCTAGTGCTTTGTGCATCTATATGCACTAGAGATATTGGTCTATAGTTTTCTTTTTTAAAAATCATTTTATTGGGGCCTTGTACAGCTTTTATCACAATCCATCCATCCATGTGTCAAGCACATTTGTACTTAAGTTGCCATCATTTTCAAAACATTTTCTTTCTACCTGAGCCCTTTGTATCAGCTCCTCATTTTTCCCCTTCCTCTCTCACACTCCATCATGAACCCTTGATAATTTATAAATTATTATTATTTTTTCATATCTTACACTGACCCAGGTCTCCCTTCACTCACTTTTCTGTTGTCCTAAACACCCTGGGAGGGGGTTATATATAGATCATTGTGATTGGTTGCCTCTTTCTCCCCCCACCTTCCCCTTCCCCTCCTGATATCACTACTCTCATGATTGGTCCTGAGGGGTTTATAGTTTTCTTGTGCGTCTTTGTCTTTTCTATAGGAGTAATGTTTACCTTCTTGGATCAGGCAGTGGTCCCTCTCTTTTTTTTGAAAAGCTTAAGCAGAATTATATTTACTTCTTGAAATGCTTGGTAGGATTTCCCACTGAAGCCATCTGGCCTTGGACTTTTCTTTGTTGGGTGACTTTTGATTACTGTTCCAATTTTGTCACGGTCTATGCAGCTCTACTAATTATCTTAAATCAGTGTAGGAGTTTATGTGTTTCAAAGACCTTGTCCTGTTCCCAAATTTGTTGATATATATGATCACACATGAGAGAGTTTCAAAAGTGGATGGAAAAATGGAATTAAAAGATAATGAGGTAAAAAGAGAGATAATGGGGTTTCCTCTGAATTTTTTTGACACACATACATGTCATTTCAGCTGATCTGCCACTCTCTGACTCTTGGTTAGAACATTAATTCATTTACATTCAAACTGATTACTGATTTTACGGAACTTTGGTGGTGTAGTGTCTTACACATTGGCTTGATAGCCACAGGTTTGGTGATTTAGACACACCAGCCATTCCTTGGGAGGAAGAGGAGGCTTTCCGCCCCTCTAACGCGATACCATCTTGGGACTCGTAAGGTTGTATGTGTTGGGATCAACTCAAGGGCTGTGAGCTTTGTTTGGTTTCTGCTATGCCATTTTGTTACTCATGTTTTGACAGTTTTTACTGTATTGTTTCAAAGTGTTTTTTAATTGGAGGTAAGGTGAGGAAAGCTTGAACAGAAAGGTAGGAAGGTAGCAAGCTCTTCATTGGGCTTAATCTGAAAGAACGTGACAGAAAAGAAGAATAAAATGAAAGACTGAAGAAGCTATAATAATTTCTTAGCCTTTGTCCCACAATATTCCTTAATTGTGAAGTTTTATGTGTGTCTTTGGCAGTAAACTTATTTGGGCTTCCCAACGAGATAGCTTGAGCATTGTTCATCAGGGTAAATAGAGAGCCCTAGTGGCATGCTGCTTAAGAATTGGGCTGCTTAGAAAAGGCCAGTTCAAAACGATCAGCTTTTCCACAGGAGATAGGCAGGCTTTCTACTCCTATGAAGAGTTACAATCACAGAAACCCACAGGGGCAGTCCTCCACTGTCCTAAAGATTGCTGTGGGGTGAAGAGTAACATGGGATCTTAGTCACCGTTTTAGTTAAAATGGATGACTTACCCTTTCCTTTTTATAGCTTTGAGGTTCAGGGACATTTGGCAAAATATTTTCGGTCCTCAGATTATTTTGGCATCGAGGCTAGTTTCTATTAGTATTATTAGACATATTCTGCTTGGCCAAAATAATATAAAGATACCTAAGGTAACTTCTTTATGTTACAGGATGATTCTGGTTATAGATGGCCAAGAGATGATCATTCCGGAAGTCGCCAACCTGACTACAGGTAAAAAGATAAAACATTAAGATAAATACTTTTAATACTTGAGTCACTGAGGTGTTTGCTTTTGCAATCCAACCTGAAGGCATATAGATAAAACATTTCACTAGCATTTAAAATTTTGAAAGAGACTAACGAAACACTTGTTAGCAAGTGTTAGCACATGTTTAGACATCTTGTAATTGATCATATGTACATATTTGAAATATTTGAACTATTGATGTATTTTTATCAAGTTAATTATTAAAATAGAATACAAATACTGTTTTTCTGATTAATAATGAGCCTTAGTTCTATCATTAATTACAAAGCATAGTTTATAAGTTATGTGTTTGTTTAAGTAAAACATAAGGCTTCTTCCCCCCGCCCCCGAATTAGCCTTCTGTAAATAGTTGCATCTTTACAAAGTGTTTAATAAGACCATCTCTTATTTGCTTTTTTTGATCAGTAAAGTTCTGTTCAGAAAAACATGTTTTGGATAAGACCTCATTATTGACTTTGTTATTGATAGAGGGAATCATTAGATAGGGAATGGTTAGGGAAAAAGAGGTACAAATTTAATCAAGTTGCAAGTTGACTGCAAGGATAAGCAAACAAATATTGGCACAAATTTATAGGAATCTTTTACTAAGAGTATGAAAATTCATAACTGCATTTTCTGAACTTAGCCTCCATCATAGTCTATACACTGCTGAAAGAGTTGTTTCCACTTTTCTGACTCTTCCCTGCTTCATTCTTTACTCTTTGACTAATACTTTATCAAAACAGCAGTTTGGCATCTTTGAGGCATTCAAATCAGGTTTCTTTGAGTTTTGGGCTGCTAACTTCAAGGTTGGTGGTTTAAGTTCGCCAATTGCTCCTTGGGAGAAAGTTAAGGTTATCTGCTCCTATAAATATGTATAGCTTAGGAAACCCTACGTAGGGTCTCACTATGAGTCAAAATCAACGGGATGACAATGGGCTTTTTAGATAATGGGAATAAATGCCACCAATGAGGTATGTACCCCTTTAGAATAATCAACCAGAAGATCAAAGGGCAATAGTTAATTAACCAAGGACAAAGTTAAGAAGGGTTTGGAAAGCAGAAAGTGTAGAAACAGGAAACAGAGAAAATGGGGTAAGTGATGTTATAGTGAGGATTACAGTGGATGAGATGAGACAAAGATGTGCATTAATTGTTGAATGTAAAATTAATGATCTATTCTGTAAACTTTTACCCTATTAAAAAATAATATATATACACGAAACACTGTAAAACCTATAAAGAGAAACCAAACCAGAACCCCACTACTATCTCGTGGATTCCAACTCATGGTGACCCTATAGGACAGAGTAGAACTGCTCTGGAGGGATTCCAAGGCTGTGAATCTTTGTGGATGTAGATTGCCTCATTTTTCTCCAGTGGAGCAGTTGGTGTGTTTGTATCATTGTTAATAACTGAACTGTTTTAACTAGTGCACCATGACAGCACCTGTGATACCTATATAGAAGGGTTATAAACTCTGGCTGATGGTGTTATCAGGTAAGTGGTAGACTGCTAATCTACTTGACATTAGTAAGTGTTTTGTGTGTAGATATTTAAAACTGTGAATATGCCATGCTTCATTCTATTTTTGTCCAAAACTTTAAGCATCCATTGTTTCTTCCTAAATTAACTAGTAATAACGATGGTTTTCAAGGAATGGTCTTCTTACTATATTGTTTTGTTTTTAAATTTATTATCTTGGCATTCTGGTATATAGAAGAGCTATCCCCGCCCCTTTATCCTTAAAAAAGGGAAAAAAAACCAAAACAAAACCCACTCTGTTTATATCAATGATATAAATGGGTTGTAAGCCATTGTTATTATTTTGATGCCCAAATTTGGCGAGTGAGTTTCATTTCAACTTCTATATTATTTTGATCCACACCATTCTTTGATAATTTTGTTGCTTTCTGGTACAGCATGTTGAAGGTGTGTCTTATACTTTTCCTTAATACTTTATTATTGCCAGCCCTAACTAAAGTCAGCCTTTTTCTCAAGGTACACAGGTTCTCATTATTGGAGAGTGTTTTTTCTTCAAGCCAAGATCTGGACACTAAGTATATGCATGCCTTCCTGTATACATATACATAGACTTTCTGTTTCTATTTGTGTTCATATAGTACTGTATACACTGAACAGCTTGCACATTATGATTATGCTAGACAAGCCTAAGCAGAACTTGCAGACTAAGATGGATTAGGAAGAAAAGATTGGCAATCTACCTCCAAAAATTAGCCAATGAACATCCAATGAATCACCAGCTTGCAACTGACCATGGAGATGGTGCAGACTTGGGCAGCATTTTATTTTTTCAAGTATTTTCATTGCCATATCTTACTCCTTCCAGTATATCCCTTTCCATACAGTTCTGTTTATGAGTCCCATCAGGTGGGCCTTTCCAATCATCCATGCCATCAACCCCCCTCTCCCCTGACTTCCCATACCCTCAGGGAACCCTTACTCCTGTCACTTGTCTCTGAGGGGTGCTCAACCTTCACTACCTTGTACCGAGCAATCTTAAATATACAAATGAATATATGCAAATCCAGCATGACCATAGAAGTGCATCACGTTAAGGACTGTAATAGTAAGGGGAGGAACTCTTAAAGAACCAGGGGATATGAGTGGTTCATCAGTGCCATACCGCACCCTGAATTTATCCTCTGTTTTGTGAGGCCTTCTTAGAGGGACTGTCCAATTGTCTTGTTGGTGGGCTTTGGGTCTCCACTATATCTGCTCCCCTTCATATCAATTTGGATGTGTGTTTTTTGAACTTCTGATACCTTTTCCCAGCGACACCTGGGCAGTGTTTTATTATTTATGAGGTCTTCATAAGTAGGGACTGATTCAACAACAGCTAGCAACAGTTGACTAATTTTTAAGTGGGGTTAAACTAAATCCCAAACTCAATACCAGTTTCCTCAGTACAGTCAAGCCCGAGCATGTAGCTAATATTCTGACCCTGGGAGGGGCGACGGAAGGGGCTGGGGTGTGTTCTTTCTCTCCCTCCCTAACACTGACTGTTCTTTAACAAGCTGACTCCACTAGGTGTAACTGGGCTGCCCTGCTCTAGCAGCACACTCTCTCGTTTTAACTTTTGATGAGTTTGGTGAAGGTTTGCCATGCAAATATGTTTCGGTTCAACAGTTTATACACATTTTGTTTCATATCATTGATTGCAATCCCCACAATGTAGCATCAGTTCTCCGACTTTCACCTTGTTTTCTGTTTCTACTCCCGCTTCTCTCCTAGCCCTTGGGATCCTGACCCTTTGGTAAATACTGCCCCTTTGATCCTAAATGGTTGGCTAGACTAAGCATTATTGTTGCTCTTATAGACCTGTGTGGCGATGTGCTGAAAGTCGAGTCATGGAGGTCCGTTCGTTTCTACACCTAAAGGGTCATGAAGGCAGCACCCTCTTTTGTTACCGGCAGTGGGATTTTTAACTTGTAATTTAGCTCTTCTTCACTTTCTTTTTAATGCATTTCATATTATAGGACTTAACTTGTAAGTCCAGTGTGTCTAGATAAAGGATAGTGGTAGTTAAAAAGTTCATTAAAAAAAAAGAAATCATAATCTCTTCCCTTTTTTTTTCCCATGAGCTTTTTGAAGCTGCCTTGTATTAGTTCATAATTCAGTATCTCACTAACAGGAATGTAGAATCATCGACAGCTTCTGGAATAAATAACAGCGAAAAAGATAATGTATTTAGTGTTTCGTCACCCTCCTCCTGCTTGGCCCTGAGTTGTCAAATTTTTGTTTAATAGAGCCATGTACTGATAATTTATCAGTGTTGCAAGTATGTCAGGACCTATTTAGCTTGAGTCTGTGTTTACACAATGATTAAATTATCCATTTGTCTAAAATATATGTGAAATCCAGAATATATTAGGATCTATTTCATTTTGTAATAGAACATTTCCTGCTCTACTTAGAGTTATTGATTTAGACAGAATGAGGTTGCTTTTTTACATAATCCTTTTTTCCTTGTAATTATGAGGCCCTTATTAAAAAAACATTGAGCTGGAACTCTGATGTAAAATACTTAAAAATGTTGAAAATATGGAGCAAGAGTGTCGAGTGGCCAGTAAACTTTATTTTCAACTACCTTTCTTGTCTTTCCTATATTCACTTGTGGAAAAAGTTTATTAAGTTGTGTAGTTTAATTTTTTGATGCTTATGGACAGAAAAATACTATAGAATATAAAGGCCTATATTTCTTTGTTGTAGTTTATTAGTATAACATTTGTGAATGTTTATTGTTCTTCTACCTGTAACTTCGAATCTGCGGGAGCCCTTGTTGTGTAGTGCTTATGCGTTGTGCTGCGATCCACATGATTGGCAGTTCAAAATCACCAACAGCTCTGCAGGAGAAAGATTTGCCTTTCTACTCCCATAACAGTTACAGTCTTAGAAAGCTCATGGGAATGAATCTTATTTTTGGTTTTAGCTTCCAATCTAGTGGGTCATACTGATACACATATTGATATCATAATTGGTATATGTTGCAGTTGCAGAAGTGACATTGGATGACAAATGAGGAAGCTAGGGTTTTAGGAAAGGTTTCGTTTTGTGCAGGAGCTGATAATAGAACAAAGCGGAAGAAAAAGAGGATTTAATCAGGAGAGGAGTTATATGGAACATGTTCCTGTGAAGAGACCATGGGCACAACAGTCTAAAATATGATGTGTTCAAGTATTAATAAGTTAATGTGTTTGGGGTAAGGAGCCCTAATAGTGGAGTGGGTTATGAGTTGGGCTGTTGAGGTCAGCACTTCAAACCCACCATCCACCATTGTAGGAGAAAGATAAGACTTTCTGCTCCCATAAAGATTTATAACTTTAAGAAGCCATAGTTCTGTTCTATTCAACTTGATGGCAGTGGGTTTGATTTTCATTTGGTATTTTGGAAACTCCCAGAAGTTTGCATCTTCAGACTTCTTAAGTCTATAAATTCTGTAGTGGGGAGCTAATGAAAAATT